AAGTTGCTGCGCAGCGTACCCGATGGCGTGGGAGCGCTGCTCGGCGGAGCTCTGATATTTGGCGCCAGTCGGGAACCGACGCTGGCCGCCATCAAAATTGATCGAGCAGGGCGGGACGGTCCGGCGTCCCTTGGTGGCTGTCGGAACTGTCAGACGCCAAGGCACGCTGTTTCACTCTCTCTTACTCATTATGTATTTGCATTATCCTTCGACCGTCAAGGAGGATGCAAAAAACCCTGCGTTTCAGTGCACGCATTTCGGCGGAGACATTTCACTCAGGGTGGCCCAAAAACGCCCTGCCGTGTGCTTGCACCCGAGGCGCGGCAGGGGCCTTCCGATTTTTGGAGCTCCCATGCGCAAGCAGTCCACCTTCGATTCGGCGCCGCCATGCCTCGGAAGCGTCGAGGTGCAAATTCCGAAGGCGGAGGTGCTTGTCACGCCATCGATTCTGCTCGGCTCGATGGCCAGAGGGGCCCCGGGGATTCGAGGTACCAGGAGCGCAGAATTGCAGGAACCGATGGGGATAACTGACCGATATCTACAGTTCACATCTTGCGATAAATGAGACTGTATCGAATCAAGTCGTTAGGCTCCCGTGATCGCTGCGTGGCGGCTGCAAGGCCGGCATGGGCAGTAGGCACGCCCGCTCCCCACCCACTACTGAATTGCCCTCACCGCGGGCTGGCGCCGGACGGCTTGGCTTCGCCGTGCGAGTGGCGTCCCAGTTCGGATCACGTGGGGTATAGATCGGCCCAGCTCGCCGGAAAGAGTCACTCCGTCCAGACTCAAACCCCGAGAAATGCACCCGCCACATCGGTTTCCTCCATCTGCGGTGTGGGTTTCCCGGGCACTTATAGCCTTCGCCCCTTCGACCTCTCGTTTCCGTGTCTGGAGTGACTTGCGTTCCCCCCTCCGCTAAGTCCCCGCTCCCACACCCTCCAGATCCTATTCAGATATCATCTGGACATCGCGACGTACGATAGACGGCATGCTTCTGCGCTGTGTTCCGCTGTTCCTTGCGCTCCTTGCGCTATGCGCCTTTACCGTAGAGGCTCGTCCGATGAAGGGGACCCTCCTCAGCAGGCGACTGACCGTTGAGGAGAGAAGTTTGACCAATGCTCAACGTCTCAAACGTGGGCTGCCCCCTAGGTCTCCTATCATCGGTCGCGTCCTCCCCGGTCGCGAGGAGCTCGGTCCCACCCCCGCATCGAAGGCCAAGCGTGGTTCTCCTTCTCCTTCTCCAGCGGCTCAAGTGTTCGTACCTCCGTGTCTTGTGCCTATGCACTCTGTTTATTTATCGCGCATATACGCAGGTATACTGGCCACCTCGAAATCAGGCTGGCCAACGGCACCTTCGTGGGCATGGTGAACAACTCTGCCAATGGCTTGTAGGTCTCGCGTCATCGCCCCCGTTGCCCACGCTGACCACATTGTCTTGCAGCCCCAATGTGGACATCGGTGGCACGGCGGGAACTGATATCGAAGTCAAGATTGCCACCACGAGAACCGGCGGGCCATTCAGTCTTCTTGCCACTGTGGGTGATCCGCGCTCCATGATGTGACGTCGCGCTGATGGTTGCTCATGTGTTGCCAGAACCCGGTTTTCACTGGCTCTCCCTTTATCGGCGGCGGCACCAACGCCACGCTGGGTTCCAACTCTTCAACGTGAGTGTCATCGAGCTGCTGTCCCCAGGGGTTTGACTCAGTTTTCGAATCCCGCAGCATCGTTCCGCTTGCAAACGTGCCGCAGAGTGAGTTTGGCCTCGAAGTTTCACCCTGATCCGATGGGATTCTGACGCCTGTGTGTTCTAGCCTCTGCCGGCATTCCGCCGACTCCTAAAGGCGCGTCGGCCTTATGGACCGTGGATGCAAAGACGCTGCAACTGACGTGTAAGTTGACTTCGAACAGCTGTCCTAGCGCAACCTTACTAACATGCGCCCAGCAAAATGGACTAACCTCGACGGTTCGAGCATCACTGCCATCCTCTTGTGGCACAAGGAGTCGAACTTGATCTTCCTTACTGGCGACGCTGGGAATATCGATGATATCAACAATCCCCAAGTGGTACGTACTCAATTCAATAAATTCGCGTCTTTGCAGCGAAGCCTGACTATCGTCTAGGGACTCTTCCTGGTCAAGTAAACGCTTCGCTACCTTCGCGCGAAAAAAGACGTGTAGATTCCTGCGTACGACTGTGATGAGAGTCACGCATTCGGACTGGCTGATAACGGACTTCAATAACGCCAAAGCTTTACGTGTTCCTGTCACGATCCCGTATCGAACGCTCTTGGACTTTTATGCCACCTCTCCTGAAGTTACGTGCTCCCCGGAGCGCGTCATTTCCGCGAGAGGGTTCATGGACTTTTCGGTTTCTATAGCTGCTTTCGAACTATCGCCGCTTGCCCTCGCCGTCCTGTACAAACGATCCTTTTTTGTATGACCTGTGTGTTTGTACAGTACATGTAATGGGTATTTGTTCGAGTAGTGACTGCACCGGTTTCGCCTTCGGCATGACGTCGCCGAGTGAAAGTGACCCGGGTCCCACCCACCGCGTATCCACTCACTGGGGTCACTGGCGCGCGCGACGTGACGGGCGGTCAGCGCGGCGCATCACTCGCGGCGTTCCCTGACTTCCCTCGCTGTGCCAGGGTGCTTGACGTTCTCCGCTCGCCGTCCACTGCTTCTCCTACGTAAGCTCGCAGCACTAGGGAGTAAATCAACGTCCAGCATGTCCCGTATCCATTCGACAACGATGCGCATACGCCCACTCATTCGACCTCTGCAGTTCCGTTTCGGCCCAGTGGCTGGGTGCATACCGGGGACGGTATCGCGTGCTAATCTTTCTACCACTATCGACCCCGCTTTGGCACAGTCGACGATCAACCAAGATGAGATTGCACATTTCTCAAAACTTTCTGCGCTCTGGTGGGACGAGCGGGGGGAGTTCCAGATGTTGCACCGGATGAATCCCGTGAGAATGAAATTCATCAGGGAGAAGATGGTGAGCTGTCGTTGTAGCAGGCGCGTTGAACGCGTGTGCGAGTCTGCTGATGCAAGCTAGACAGAGATGGCACTAGAAGATGACCTTGACGCGCTCGTAACCGAGGCGGAAGTGCTTCAAGGACGGGCTGTTTTGGATGTCGGATGTGGTGGTGGACTTCTCAGCGAGGTACGTACTCTGTTATTGCAAATGACTATATCACACTAACGCCTCCTCAGAGCCTCGCTCGAATGGGAGCGAAGACGCTAGGGATAGACGCGTCGTCCTCGAACATCTCGATCGCGTCTCTCCATGCCTCTGCGGACCCGTTTCTCGACTCTTCCTCAAGCAAGCAGGGCAAGCGAAAAGGCTCGCTCACATACAAACACACCTCCGTGGAGGACCTCCTCGCTGAATATGGACCGGCATCATTCGACGTCGTCTGCTCGATGGAGGTCCTCGAGCACGTCGACAACCCGCGTGGTTTCCTGCACAGCTGTGCACAGCTAGTTAAGGTAAGTGCGCGCGCATATATTTAGCTCCGCACCGCGTTGATGCGTAGCATATGCAGCCCAGCGGCCATCTCTTCCTCTCGACGATTGCGCGCACGCCGCTCGCGTACCTCATCACGATCTTCGCCGCCGAGGACGTCATGCAGCGGGTCTCAAAAGGCACGCATACATACTCGAAGTACGTCAACCCGGGCGAGCTGGAGGGCTTCTTCAGGACGTACCGCTCGCCCGCGCCGTCCGGCGCGCCGGGCAGGCCGTGGATCGCATCCCCGAGAAGGCCGGCGAGGACGGAGGCAGAGACGAGAGGGATGGTGTACGTGCCATGGAATGGAGAGTGGGTACTTGCGCCTCGGGAAACGACGTGGGCGGAGGGTTGCAATTATTTGTTCTGGGTGAGAAGACCGCTGGAGTAAGCTCGGGTAGGTGCGCATCACATCATGTCTAACGGAAAGGTGCTAATCTGTGATGTCTAGGGTAGACTTTGGTGTAAGACGAGTTTTTACCGTTCGGCGTGCCCTACCGTGCGATATACCTTTCCCGCCTAGAGGAACTGATTCAGCTCGCCTATGTATCTGTGGCTGGGTAAGCGCGTGGGCAGTGGGCCATGCCAGGTCCTCTGGCATATACATTGTCAGATGCTGATCGCCGATTCCCCACGCGGGTGCATGGTGGTGTCTGTCGTGCCTACGCTCGTTCCAGCTGCGGCATAGTCCCATAGAGAACTTGTCTGACTTCGCGGGAAACACTCGCTGCAATGGATCTGATTTTTGACGCTCTGACACTAGCTTTCTGGAATCCAGTGTATTCGGTCACAAAGAACTCAGATGCATGGAAGGGAAGCATCTCCCCCTCCCTTTCCCTTATCTTGCCCACCGCTTCGTCTCCCAGACCTACTCAGGTGCAGTGCGATCTCATTCCCGACTCATCTAAGTCTACTGTGCAAACTGCAACAATATGAGCTACGAAGAAGACCGTCATCTCGCCAGTGCTAGTGAGGAGCTCGAAGAACTCGCCATCCGCGTATCATCGCTCCCTCCTCTTCTCGATAAGACCGGTGCGCTTGTCGACTTGCGTATGTATCGTACCTGCTCAACTATCACATTCAGTCCAGCATGTTTCTGGGGCCGTGAGCGGCGTCCAACAAGCCATCGACAGCGACCTCGCTGCCCAGCTCGAACAGGTCGCTGAATTTACCGCCGATAACGTCAAAGTCAACGTCGAAGTGCTTGTGGACGTACTGGACTGTGTTAGCAAGATCCACCCGTTCATTGGAGGTTCGCGCCTGCACGTCTGAGAAGTAAGCACATCTGAAACATTCATGGCTTTCGTAGTTGCGGCTCTCGCATTCAAGGCAGCGGTCAAGCTAGAGATGACCCGGCGAAAGAATGATAAACGAGTATTACAGCTGCATGCCGATATGTGCAATATGATGCGTACCGTAGCTTGGTAAGCGTAGGACCTGTCGCGCTGGCGGGGTCTGACCTTCCACAGGCTCCATGACTTTCAACGAGAGTACGTCAAGGGACAAGAAACCATCGTGATTGAAGACCGTCTCAAGTCCCGCGTGGAGGACATTGCGAGCGATATCGAGGCGTGCGCCAAGAGCTGCGCCTACTTCCGGGACAAGGTGTTCATTGGTACAGTCGTTTGCTTTGGCCTGGAGTGCTCGACTGATCCATTTGTGCCTACAGTGAGGGTGCTTACTGGTCCCCAATGGGAGCACATCCTCTTGGACTTCTCCGAAAAGTTTGACACTCACCAGAAGGAGGTAGGTAGGACTTTGACGATGATCACAGCCTCGAAGTCCGCCCGCAGCTACGAGAAGTTGTTTAACATGGAACAGCAACTCAATAGAGTGGCGCTTTTCACTTCGCTTCGCCCTCGAGAAGATCACAAGCTGCAGGAATTTATTGACGTTCACGGAGGCCCCAATGCTGTCTGGGCAGACGAGGCCTTGCGGAAGGACCTCGAACGGTTGGTCGAGGAAAACGAAACAAATCGGGAAGATAAGCTAATTTCTCACGCGACCAACATCTTCGACGAAGTCGGGCAAGACTTGCAGTCGACGATGCAAAGGCTGTTCAACGAAAACCAAACGTCCTTTGACGAGCATTTCCAGTCGCGCTGGGATAATCTGCTGGCGACATTTCGGGTGGCACTACAAGAAGGAAACAGCGAACAGAGCTCACGTACGGAATTGCAAGACGATGTAAGTGCACATCTTTCGCTGCCATAGTCGCTAACAAGCTGTCTAGGATATACGAGCACTGTGGTCAGACATGGTATGAAGGACCGTGGCCATACAAGAGCGACGCTAACGAACCACCTAGAGATGGGGCCGCCGGGAGCCAGCAGATGTAGTCATTTCCCAACTGCTGCTAGTCGCAGCAGAGAAGGTTCACGAGCAAGCTATGGATCGCTGGGCATTGCATTATCTGAGCCCAAAGTATTGGAAGCAGGGTCTGCTGGAAGCTATTGATGTTGATGGTTCGGGCTACGTTACCATTGCTGAGATCAATAGCTTTTCAGTACTGCGGCCACGAGGTCCTGAGGGCTGGAGGTTAGTGGCGAATTGGCTCGTTTATCACCTTCTGACTCATTAGTTGAAAGTTTACCACGCTGGATGGCATATTGGACAGTGGGTGCGTCACATGAAGTTGGATGCACACGAACGAGCAAGTAGTAACCTTGCCTAATGCTGCGTCACAGGTCAAGAGCTAGTTTTGAAGCATTACTACGATGCCATCGACAAGCAACTCGTGCAGATACGAGATACCGCGACGCATGCTCTGCCTTTCAACCGAGCGCTTGTGCAAAAGCTTCTCGGCGGGGGCATATTCTACACATGCGACTGTATCCTTGCGGGCGTATATCTCGTGGCAGAACGCAGGTCTCTGGAGCCTCTGGTTTTCGCGAAGTTTGAAAGTCGCGTGAGCGCCGAGGAAGACGAGCTCCGGCAGCTCCTAGAGTCCGTCAACTATGAGCTTGACTCATGCATAATGTCATCAGTCGTCGGATCCAGACGGCTAGATACGGTGAGTGTCCTGATCAAAACACACCCGGGCTCGACTCTGACTTTCACGCAGATCGTCCTTCCGTTGTTATACCTGCTCCTCGAACGAGCGCTGAGAATAATGAAGGAAGCCGTCAATGAGTCATTGGATCAGCAACAAGTACTTGGCTTACGCGCATCCCTGTGGACGCTATTACGTGCCAGCTATCACAGAGTGGAAGAGATAAGAGGCAAGTGTGGAGCTTGTTACTGACACACACCCCTAACGATCGTGTTAGATATGTTTGTCACGCTATCATCCGACGAAATTCTAGTTAAAGAGAAAATCAAGAGGGTATCCCTTGGCTTGGTATGTGCCCCTCTCACGGATCCGAAATAACAGCTGATTGTCCACAGTATCGCTATATCTACTGCTATGATGAGCTGGGGACCTCGAAGTACCTCAACGACCAGAAGGCGCTTCGCCCCAGCTGTCTTACTCCGGGATTCAGTCGTACTAGTCTGGAAACACAGCACTCCAGCCTCGGGTCTCTCGAACGAGCATGGACATACGGAGAAGTCGAGCAACTTCTTACGGATACGCGGCACGAATTGTACCCTTTTGTTCAGCTCTGCGTCGAGCAAGGTATTATGGCGAGCGAGGGCGAGCCAGCCGACGTCTTCTTGAACATGGCTCGCGAAGCAATCGCAAAAGCTGCCCATTTGGGCGGACCTCTGGCCCACGTCGTAAACTCTCAGAATCCTTTCTTGCGCTTTCTGACCCCCAGTCGAACGCGAGAGATGCTGATGTCGAGTGTAACACAAATTGCGAAGCAAGCGCCTGCCCCCCAACTTCAGTTTTGCTGTGCCTTGGTGGACAGCGTCGTCAGAAGACAAATTTTACATTCGTAAGGTGTTCAATACCCGTGATGAAGGAGGCAACTAATTATGCGAACCAGACCAGTAACCTGTGACAGATGCAGAAAGCGGACGATTAACATGACTCGACTTATCTGCTTAACCTGTTCCGAGGATGAGGATTCTACAAGACGCGGACGAACCACGGACTACTGTGCAAGATGTCTTTTTGACAACTTGCAACTACGTTGCGCCGTCTCCGAGCATGATCAGCATTCATTTCTACAAGTGCGACGGTTCACGTACAATAAGTGGAGACACGCGTCTTTGAAGGAGGCGCGCGTGATCTGGCAAAAACAGGCCGTCCTATGTGGTCTCCTGGACGCACCAAGGACACAATTGGGTGTCGAACGTCATTCGCGAGGACCAGACGAGCGGGCCCTTTCGTGCCAGACTTGCCTAGAGCTCATCACATCCTCTTTCTGGTTTTGCTTAGACTGCCGTGAAGGTGAGCGCCACTAACAGGCCATAGTTCTACGCCGAAATCCGCTTACCGAGCTTTCTACAGAGCGAATTTACGTTTGCCATGAGTGCAACGTGAAGGATGACAAGCGCATCAATCTGCTTCTCTTGGAAGACACGTTCGCTGAACGTCCCATTACGAATAGGTCCCCAGGTAGACCTAATTTTCTTCTCACAGAGCCGAGCTCATCCTTCCTTCTAGATCAGCCAACGCGAGATAAACACCATTGGTCGCATGACTTAATTTTTATCATGAGCCCTAGCATTCCGGGTATTACCATGATACCTGCACACAGTCGCCCCCCCTCTCCGGCGTACCAGATTGAAAATTCGGTGGGGAGTACAAGGAGGCGCAATTCCAGCGTTCGTTTTTCCGAGAGGAAAACATATTTACCAGAACTACCCGGCTATCCCATCTATGACAGCGCACTTGCTGCGACGCCGGCACTGATTAGTCGCGGTTCGCGCCCTCAGTCTTACCCTGAGGTCGGTCTTGATCAAGAACCAAGCTATTATAGTGTTCTTCGGGCACGTGAATCCGCGATGCACGCAGGCATTGCAGTATCCACTTCTAGACTTGGTTCGCAATCTCTAGACCCACGTTCCATGGCCACCGCCAGCAGCCCTCGATACTCCACCACGGGCCGCCACCACTCACACGGGTCGTCTCGTCCTGTCATTCCAGAAGGCGGCCCTCCACGTTACGACATGAGGCCATTTCGTCCTGCATACTCGCCGAACCCGGAAGCCAGCCCCGCAGCATTGGCCCGATCGCCGCCTCCGAGTACGTACGAACCAAGTTCACGTCATTCACTAGCAATCACACCTCCTGATCATACCCGCTTTACTAGGGTCCCATCGGACCTACATGCAACCCGCACTGCAACAAGCTCCTCCACACCCTGAGAACTTCAGCGGTATGGGTAGACAAGCGGAAGAGCCTGGTTTCTACATAGACGCACGTCTTCGCAACATTGATGCGCGTCTTCACAACATGGAGGCATCAGTCGCCGAACGCGTCTTCATGCAATCGCAGTCATCGTCGACGCCCCCGCCCGACAGATTTGCAGCCAGGCATGGTTCTGCCCCGCAAGCATCGGACGGGGTGGTGCGCTACCTCCTAGAGGTGACGGAGGACTTACGGAGGCGTGTGGAGGCAATAGAGGAACGCCCCCGTGATAACGTACCAATTCAGATAGTGGTGCACCAATCTCCTTCAGGAAGCACATCTGGCAGCGATCAGCCTTCTACTCCCCCTGCCGTTCCGATCTTGCCACCCACACCCGTGATATCTGAACGCAGTGCTCAAGAGATTTACACTTACAGCTCCGAAGAGCCCTTTGCTCCGATTAGACGCGTTTCTGCCGAGGAGTTTGATAGTGAAGCGGAGACCTCTCAAGATTCCGAGTCGAGAGCAAGCGACGAGTCTTACGAATACGTGACCCGATCTTTGAAAACCCAGAACCGCCCACGCTATCGATACTATTAGTAGCGGGTTGCAATTTCAACTTGAACGGTTACTGTGTACATGCAACACCGCAGGCGCCCGCGTCCTGTGTAATTACCTGTTAAGCTACAGTATGTTCAAGTCCGGGCTTGCCGCCTTTGTCTGAATCGTTTGCAGGCTGATCAATAGTATTCCGCAAAGCATGTCCTAGTTTTTGGTGAGACATGCAGCCTGAGTATATAGTAGCTTCGGAGCCGTCGTGTCTCGCTTGAACCACCTACAGTATGTGAGTCCTCTACTGTACCGAGGGAATGGTGCTTGTATTGTATAACAACTTCGGACGTATGCAAATCTTGTACATCGCATCATACTAATACTCGTTATCATCGACATACTGTACCCGTACGACCAGTCCGGCGGTCACGCGTCACACCGATTTTCCATTGACCCCTCCAATAATCTTTTTCTTTCTCGATTTATGGCGGGCATTGCAATTGCTAGGCGCTAGAGCGTGACTTAGGCGCGGCGTTGTAGATCGCCACGTGGCCCGCTTGTTCCAACTCTGCGACAACACTGATAGTGAATACCTCCGGTGAGTGTTGCTGATCAGGAGGTGTTGAATAATATTGACGTTCGCCTGGATTCAGGTTTCGGACTGATGTCTGCAAGTAACGAGTGAACCACAAAGCGATACAACTTGATTGACCGTTCCTCACAGCACGGAAAATCCACAACAGCATTCCCGCATAGTGACGCGGTCAAGTGCGACGTGAACTCTCGCTGTGCGATTTGAATCCTTTCCTTGCGCTTTACGACATGTCGTTGACTCCGATCTGACTAGACTTGCGTGCAGCAGAGCAGTTCACGGGCACCCATGCATTCTGGTTTCCGTCCATTGTGAGACTGAACCAACATGAGTGGGATGCGCTCCCGGCCGAATACTTTGAGCGACAGCCACAACTACCAGCCGGAAGAAGGAGGCGCTCCATTCAACCGAAGAACCATATGTTGTGGTCGCTACTATTCATAGGCCGCCAAACAATCCCATATGACTGCCAGCTAGTGGGCGAGCCTGGTGACGTATGGCTAACCGAAACCACGGTCCAGGTTCGCACAATCTCGGGGTGGACAGACTGGGTGAAGAAGTGTACCAGGCATGGTGGCTTGTCTCATCCGTATCTTCCAACTTGCAAGCTAGGATATCGGCCTCAAACAATGTGCTTAGCTTACGGGCAGGCGCACGGTGGCGTGGAAAATTGGCGCAAAGAATGGGCACGGCTCACTCCGAGCACTCTGTGTCAGAGATATCACTCCGCCTTGGGTAGGGCCGATGCGCAGAGTGCCACGAGACAAATACGAAAGCTACTCACGATACCAGGCGGGACCCGGCTTGTCCCATTTATGGACATTACGGAGGCTGGATTAGCTGCTCTCTTGTACCCGTTCTTCTCTAGCGACATTCCACTCGCTGCGGAGGCAGTGTCTGAGACCAATATCCAGCCCGTGAGTAGAGCTTCACTAATGTATATGCTGTGTTTCTAACCAATTTGCTTATTTCAGGTTGTCGCTCCCTCGACGTATGGTGGCACCGAGGCAGGGGATCAACATGAGCAGCCTGAGTGGCCTGAGACTCTGAGTCTATCTTTTCAACACTCATCTCCCAAAAAACAAATGGCAGTGGCACCTCGTTTGGACGAACCATTGTCCCCAGACTCGCAAAATTCACAGCCCAGTTCCGTACATTCTCCTCAGACGCCGGAGTCCCCTTTGACGCCTCCTCCTTGGACCCCATACTCCGCTCCGGCGCCTCTCCTTCAGATACCAGGGCCCACTCTGGCCCATCAGCAGGCACCGCAACAGGTGCCAATGGTTGTAGACTCTCCTGACATCGGAGGAGCGCTGCCCGCCTTGCCGCAGGATGTCTCGCAGCCATTTGCGCTGGTACACCACCTCTTTGGGGTAATAGGGAGTTTGGAGTCGCGTGTGGCGGTCCTAGAAGGACAAGTGTCCGGTGTTCGGCCCCGCGGCCACACTGTATCGGGCATTTCAATGGTACCACCTTCGCAGCCCGAGGGAAGCTTGCCAGAAAGTGTGTCCTACGCCGGCTACGCGGCATCTCCTTCGATGCTGACCAGGGAGCATTCCTACGTCGTACCACTTTCAATGGCATCTCCCATGCTTGTGCCTTTCCCGAGCTCTTCTTCTTACTCTTCCGCCTCTCCAATCGCCATCCCCGAGACCGACGCTCAAGGTGCCCAAGGGTCTAGGAAACCCTCTATCGCGGTATCCGCCCCGATGGAGCCATCTGGTGAGAGGTCTGCTGGTGCACCAGTGACCATTCAAAATCAGGCGACGACTCATCCGGACACAGGATCCAGCCTTTGGTCGCGGGTCACACGGTGGTGGCAAGCCCAGCCTTGAGCACAAATACCGGTCTTCGGGCGTGCTTAACTGGATGCGGGAACTTGGGATCACTAATCTAGGTGAGTTCTTGTTTTACTGTTTGAAGTATAGTGCTGATTCCAAGAATGGGGACGATGCTCTCATCTGCCTACGAAGAATATTTACACGAGGTTGTATGTGATGATCGATGATGATGGGCGACCTATTTGACCAAGTTGTCGGTGAGCGACTGGGAATATATTCCGTACTATCTACGAGCATTTTGGTCCTGTCGCTCACCTCGCTACATAAATTTCGTCTATTATTCTCCGAAAGCGAGCATGTTGCGATTTGTGATAGAAATCTGCGGAAATCTGCGAGACTGACGTGTTGTATCACCTTTGTATATAGTTTATCATCTTGATGTTGTTCAAACTCGTCTTAGAGATATTTCTTAAGGACTGGTTGTAAGGCTCTGTCAACGGAAAATTCCTTTCTGAGGTTGTGCGACACTTCGTGCTGCTTAGTAAGCAGGAGCGGTTGGGTAATCGTGCGAGCGGGATAATCGCAGCACATCTTGTTCCTAACCTCTTCCACAGCGCGAATATGGACGGCCCTTCGACATCAACATCAGCTGCAGCCCTGAAGGAGGAGATAGCTCGTTTGACAGGTAAGTCGAGGACCAAGGAGCTTTTAGTACAGATCTCGGGCAAGGTCCTCAGTGGTGTTCCTATCTCAACACCTCTGCCTCCGCTTTGAAGGCCTCCGTCTGCTAGCGGTTACACAGTGCTGACATGATTCTCAGGTGCGATTAACCGCCACAAGACGACGGAATACCGACCCCGACCGCCGCCAACGTACCATCCAGGAGCCCGACCGCGAAACAACATCTATGTGAATCCGAACTACAAGGCATCGAGTAAGCCCGTGGTTACCTCAAGCGTCCCCCCTCTTCAGCCTCCTAATCCCGCCGCAACCAACGAGAAGCGCGAGGTCGTTATTGGCGGTGTAGCATTTGAGTCATCAGGTCGATCGCTCGTTCGCAAAGACTGTGCGTCTTCGTTTCCCACCGGTGTTCACCTCCAAACAACGCCTGACGAGCATCACCAACCAAATATCCTTATAGTGGCTGACTCGAAGCCGAAACCATCGCCGTCCAAGCCTCCAGTTCCTAACGGGTCTTTTGCTGGAACAAAAGCTACCGCCCTCCACCATGCGAGCAAGTACAAGCCTAAACCCCGCCGTGGTAGACCGACAAACCGCAACATGACTTTGAATAATACCCGCCGACCTTATCATGCAGGGTGTGTCTCTAGTATTATTCTTTCGAATTCACAGCTGAAGTCTCGCTCCGCAAGTGCCCGCCGTCGCAAGGTCGTAGAGAAGCCCTGTGCGCGATTTACGACGACAGGTGAGTACGATCTCTTCTGGTATCTGTCCGCTCACAATTTGCCGTCACAGGAGCGTGCACTCGGGGCCTGACTTGTCCTTATCAGCATGATCCTGCCAAAATTGCGATCTGCTGGCCCTTCCTGCAGGGGAATTGCCCGCACACTACTTCTACTTGCCCTCTTTCCCATGATCCTACTCCCCAGCGTACTCCTCTGTGCGTGCACTTCGCGAACCAAGGCCGATGCACGAGGCCCAACTGCCCGTTCCCTCATGTTCGGGTGGGCGCTCGAGAAGGCGTGTGTCGCGACTTCGCCGTGTTGGGATATTGCGAGAAGGGTCTCGACTGCGAAAACCAGCACGTTCGCGAATGTCCCGACTTTGCTGAGAAAGGCGTCTGCAACACCAAGGGATGCAAGCTCCCGCACGTCATCCGTGCCAACAGGAACCGGCCGCGACCGTCCACGGGACAAGGCGCGACCCCCAACGCTGGCTCCTCTTTGGACTCCAAGGCCACCTCGGACCCTGCTGCTTCTTCGTCTGGGGCTGACCTTGGTTCTGGTAACGTTGCTAGTTCACAGGTGCTTACAGCCGAAGATGCACAGCTAGGTGATGAGTACATTTCTTTGACCTTCCTTGAAAGCGACCCTGAAGAGGACGAGGACGAGGAGGATGACGAACAGAAGTCAGGCGGCGAAGAACAAGCGGCGGACGAGGAAGGGGAAGAAGAGTCTTCGCAACATGGTTCTATCCATGAAGAGTAATATACCCCCGTTGAGCTCCAAGATGTACGATACAATATAACAGTGGTGTAGTATGC